AATATTAGTAAATATTAGTAAATTTAGAAATATTAGTAAATATTAGTAAATATTAGTAAATATTAGTAAATATTAGTAAATATTAGTAAATATTAGTAAATATTAGTAAATATTAGTAAATATTAGTAAATATTAGTAAATATTAGTAAATATTAGTAAATATTAGTAAATATTAGTAAATATTAGTAAATATTAGTAAATATTAGTAAATATTAGTAAATATTAGTAAATATTAGTAAATATTAGTAAATATTAGTAAATATTAGTAAATATTAGTAATATTAGTAATAATATTAGTAAATATTAGTAAATATTAGTAAATATTAGTAAATAGTAAATATTAGTAAATATTAGTAAATATTAGTAAATATTAGTAAATATTAGTAAATATTAGTAAATATTAGTAAATATTAGTAAATATTAGTAAATATTAGTAAATATTAGTAAATATTAGTAAATATTAGTAAATATTAGTAAATATTAGTAAATATTAGTAAATATTAGTAAATATTAGTAAATATTAGTAAATATTAGTAAATATTAGTAAATATTAGTAAATATTAGTAAATATTAGTAAATATTAGTAAATATTAGTAAATATTAGTAAATATTAGTAAATATTAGTAAATATTAGTAATATTAGTAAATATTAGTAAATATTAGTAAATATTAGTAAATATTAGTAAATATTAGTAAATATTAGTAAATATTAGTAAATATTAGTAAATATTAGTAAATATTAGTAAATATTAGTAAATATTAGTAAATATTAGTAAATATTAGTAAATATTAGTAAATATTAGTAAATATTAGTAAATATTAGTAAATATTAGTAAATATTAGTAAATATTAGTAATATTAGTAAATATTAGTAAATATTAGTAAATATTAGTAAATATTAGTAAATATTAGTAAATATTAGTAAATATTAGTAAATATTAGTAAATATTAGTAAATATTAATTAGTAAATATTAGTAAATATTAGTAAATATTAGTAAATATTAGTAAATATTAGTAAATATTAGTAAATATTAGTAAATATTAGTAAATATTAGTAAATATTAGTAAATATTAGTAAATATTAGTAAATATTAGTAAATATTAGTAAATATTAGTAAATATTAGTAAATATTAGTAAATATTAGTAAATATTAGTAAATATTAGTAAATATTAGTAAATATTAGTAAATATTAGTAAATATTAGTAAATATTAGTAAATATTAGTAAATATTAGTAAATATTAGTAAATATTAGTAAATATTAGTAAATATTAGTAAATATTAGTAAATATTAGTAAATATTAGTAAATATTAGTAAATATTAGTAAATATTAGTAAATATTAGTAAATATTAGTAAATATTAGTAATTAAATATTAGTAAATATTAGTAAATATTAGTAAATATTAGTAAATATTAGTAAATATTAGTAAATATTAGTAAATATTAGTAAATATTAGTAAATATTAGTAAATATTAGTAAATATTAGTAAATATTAGTAAATATTAGTAAATATTAGTAAATATTAGTAAATATTAGTAAATATTAGTAAATATTAGTAAATATTAGTAAATATTAGTAAATATTAGTAAATATTAGTAAATATTAGTAAATATTAGTAAATATTAGTAAATATTAGTAAATATTAGTAAATATTAGTAAATATTAGTAAATATTAGTAAATATTAGTAAATATTAGTAAATATTAGTAAATATTAGTAAATATTAGTAAATATTAGTAAATATTAGTAAATATTAGTAAATATTAGTAAATATTAGTAAATTTAGTAAATATTAGTAAATATTAGTAAATATTAGTAAATATTAGTAAATATTAGTAAATATTAGTAAATATTAGTAAATATTAGTAAATATTAGTAAATATTAGTAAATATTAGTAAATATTAGTAAATATTAGTAAATATTAGTAAATATTAGTAAATATTAGTAAATATTAGTAAATATTAGTAAATATTAGTAAATATTAGTAAATATTAGTAAATATTAGTAAATATTAGTAAATATTAGTAAATATTAGTAAATATTAGTAAATATTAGTAAATATTAGTAAATATTAGTAAATATTAGTAAATATTAGTAAATATTAGTAAATATTAGTAAATATTAGTAAATATTAGTAAATATTAGTAAATATTAGTAAATATTAGTAAATATTAGTAAATATTAGTAAATATTAGTATATATTAGTAAATATTAGTAAATATTAGTAAATATTAGTAAATATTAGTAAATATTAGTAAATATTAGTAAATATTAGTAAAATATTAGTAAATATTAGTAAATATTAGTAAATATTAGTAAATATTAGTAAATATTAGTAAATATTAGTAAATATTAGTAATATTAGTAAATATTAGTAAATATTAGTAAATATTAGTAAATATTAGTAAATATTAGTAAATATTAGTAAATATTAGTAAATATTAGTAAATATTAGTAAATATTAGTAAATATTAGTAAATATTAGTAAATATTAGTAAATATTAGTAAATATTAGTAAATATTAGTAAATATTAGTAAATATTAGTAAATATTAGTAAATATTAGTAAATATTAGTAAATATTAGTAAATATTAGTAAATATTAGTAAATATTAGTAAATATTAGTAAATATTAGTAAATATTAGTAAATATTAGTAAATATTAGTAAATATTAGTAAATATTAGTAAATATTAGTAAATATTAGTAAATATTAGTAAATATTAGTAAATATTGGTAAATATTAGTAAATATTAGTAAATATTAGTAAATATTAGTAAATATTAGTAAATATTAGTAAATATTAGTAAATATTAGTAAATATTAGTAATATTAGTAAATATTAGTAAATATTAGTAAATATTAGTAAATATTAGTAAATATTAGTAAATATTAGTAAATATTAGTAAATATTAGTAAATATTAGTAAATATTAGTAAATATTAGTAAATATTAGTAAATATTAGTAAATATTAGTAAATATTAGTAAATATTAGTAAATATTAGTAAATATTAGTAAATATTAGTAAATATTAGTAAATATTAGTAATATTAGTAAATATTAGTAAATATTAGTAAATATTAGTAAATATTAGTAAATATTAGTAAATATTAGTAAATATTAGTAAATATTAGTAAATATTAGTAAATATTAGTAAATATTAGTAAATATTAGTAAATATTAGTAAATATTAGTAAATATTAGTAAATATTAGTAAATATTAGTAAATATTAGTAAATATTAGTAAATATTAGTAAATATTAGTAAATATTAGTAAATATTAGTAAATATTAGTAAATATTAGTAAATATTAGTAAATATTAGTAAATATTAGTAAATATTAGTAAATATTAGTAAATATTAGTAAATATTAGTAAATATTAGTAAATATTAGTAAATATTAGTAAATATTAGTAAATATTAGTAAATATTAGTAAATATTAGTAAATATTAGTAAATATTAGTAAATATTAGTAAATATTAGTAAATATTAGTAAATATTAGTAAATATTAGTAAATATTAGTAAATATTAGTAAATATTAGTAAATATTAGTAAATATTAGTAAATATTAGTAAATATTAGTAAATATTAGTAAATATTAGTAAATATTAGTAAATATTAGTAAATATTAGTAAATATTAGTAAATATTAGTAAATATTAGTAAATATTAGTAAATATTAGTAAATATTAGTAAATATTAGTAAATATTAGTAAATATTAGTAAATATTAGTAAATATTAGTAAATATTAGTAAATATTAGTAAATATTAGTAAATATTAGTAAATATTAGTAAATATTAGTAAATATTAGTAAATATTAGTAAATATTAGTAAATATTAGTAAATATTAGTAAATATTAGTAAATATTAGTAAATATTAGTAAATATTAGTAAATATTAGTAAATATTAGTAAATATTAGTAAATATTAGTAAATATTAGTGAATATTAGTAAATATTAGTAAATATTAGTAAATATTAGTAAATATTAGTAAATATTAGTAAATATTAGTAAATATTAGTAAATATTAGTAAATATTAGTAAATATTAGTAAATATTAGTAAATATTAGTAAATATTAGTAAATATTAGTAAATATTAGTAAATATTAGTAAATATTAGTAAATATTAGTAAATATTAGTAAATATTAGTAAATATTAGTAAATATTAGTAAATATTAGTAAATATTAGTAAATATTAGTAAATATTAGTAAATATTAGTAAATATTAGTAAATATTAGTAAATATTAGTAAATATTAGTAAATATTAGTAAATATAGTAAATATTAGTAAATATTAGTAAATATTAGTAAATATTAGTAAATATTAGTAAATATTAGTAAATATTAGTAAATATTAGTAAATATTAGTAAATATTAGTAAATATTAGTAAATATTAGTAAATATTAGTAAATATTAGTAAATATTAGTAAATATTAGTAAATATTAGTAAATATTAGTAAATATCAGTAAATATTAGTAAATATTAGTAAATATTAGTAAATATTAGTAAATATTAGTAAATATTAGTAAATATTAGTAAATATTAGTAAATATTAGTAAATATTAGTAAATATTAGTAAATATTAGTAAATATTATCTCCAATGCTTAAATAGTATGTCAAAGAAACTATGACTAGGAATCATAGAAGTAGAAACACTATACCATTTAGGTTCTTATGATACACGTCGAATTCCTTGGGAGACAATATGAAAAAATTACCCATAAACACATATCTGAAATTGCTTCGTTTTGCTTCTGCCGATTTTAATAACATTTTCACAATTTTTGATATTTTAAAAATGCATATATTGAATTTTATTGGATTTGATCCTGTACCTACGGAAAAATTCGGTTAGTTTTTTCCTAAAAAAGTTTAATAACTTTTTTAAATGAAGCAACTAAAAATACAACTTCTTACTGAATTTTTTTGTATTTCGTTTCGATTTCGAGAAACAAATTAAAAACAAACATTTCTCGCCATTATTCTTTTTCAGAAAATGTTTGCGCCCCGATAGTATTGAAAAACGGTGTGGCTAAACGTAGAAGTCTCAGATCGAGAGTGGTGAGGTTTTTCTGCAATCGAGGCTACCTACTGGCAGGAGAAAAACACAGTACTTGCGTTAGAAACAAATGGGATCCAGCTCCTCCAAGATGCGTGCGTAAGTACTTACTATCAATTGTTGATAAAACCTTAAACAGGTTTAGCTAAGTTAATATATTGATTGTATCCCATCGCATGTTTTTTATGGTACAAACAATATCACTTGAGCCCGTTTGCGTTATTTTAGAAGAAGATCCACACTTAAATAGCAGACAAATATGGTTATATCGTAGGAGCCTACGATCACCTGATATGAATCCTTTAGATTATTTCCTATGGGGGTCTTTTTAAAAACAGAGTTTACAAAACAAAACCTGCCGATATTCAAGAATTAAAAGATAGAATTACAGTAGAGATAAGACGAATAACAAGCTGACATTTTATAAAAAAAAATGTATTACGTAGTTTTATTGATATTTTGGTTTGTTGTTTGGAAGTATATAGACATTTTTACTGTAATTGCTTTTTATAAGTTCATTTAAATCATTGGTAGTAAAAACTTATGGTTTTAACATTTAATATTCAAATGACTTTATTTCTGTAATTGTTACATTTAGGTATAGGAGTACAAACATGGAATATATTCAGAATTTTTTAAGCATTTTTAAAATCATAAAATATACAGGGTGATCTTTTTGAAATAACAAAGTTCGCTATATTACTGTTTTCGAGTAGAATTTACCATTTTGATAATTTTTTAGGACCCACTTGTAAGACCATTGGACAACAAATCAACACTGATAACCTCGTGACTTATCCAACGCACAGTAAAGCTGTTTTACATTTTTTCTGCAAAGCTGGTTTCACTTTAAACGGACCCAGTGCGATTTATTGCGACGGAAGTACCTGGAGCAATCATGTACCGACTTGTTTACGTAAGTAAAATGATATTTACAAATTCTGACTGACCACCGACCAATTATACCACATTTTCTATCGTTATCTTGATTAAACATAATCAGCAAAAACCACACCAGAATCCAATGTTATCGACATAATTAGGCAATTTCCTTGAAGTTGATTTTATATGAATTATTTTATTTGTGTTCATTTTTGGGTTGTGTGAAGTTAGCATCTCAAATCTCAGTATCTCATATTTTAAGTTCTTACGACATCGGATATAGTTCTATAGTTCCTGATACTTTTAATCAATAGTTGTGTCGAACATACTATCGAAATGGACAATTTAAAAATGAGTTAGCATCCCTATATAATAAATAAAATAAAATAAAACAAGCAGACGTTAAATCGATAGTTTACAAATAGTTCTAGAGTTTTTATTTGTTTTTATAGCTCAATTATTTATAGCTCTGACCCTCTTAAAATACTTATAAATAAATATTATACATATAAATTCTAGACCCTTTTGAGAAGCGAAATATTTGACGGAGCCCTAATTTTACTTTGCAACCCCGGCGCATTTCTAAAAGAACAGAAAAAGGTCCTTAATGAAATCTAAGAAAAAAAACAAAAGTTCCTCAAACTAAACCAGATCCTCAAATCAGGTCCTCAAACCATAAAACTACTTTGCAACTTTTCACTTTACATATTTTACTAAATTTATGTTCTATACAAGAGACATATTATGCATTAAAAAGTAAAATTTGGAGAGCAATTTGAAAATGAAAAATTAATAATCTGCAAATAACGATATTATTTCATGAATCAAAAGTATTTTGTTCTCGTAAATTTGAAAAGTGCAAAGTGAAAAATTGCAAAGTAATTTATGAAATAGGCCCCAGGTCCTCAAATCAGGTCCTCCCTTTAGTGGCGAACTTCCTCATACAATTTTTTTATTATGACTATTATTTTCGCGGAGCACACTTTGAGGAACGCTGTTCTGGACGATAGTAAAATGCTGTCATATTATGACAACTTCTAGAACACATAATGCTCATAAATTACAATGCTTCTAAATGATAACTTGACTCTCTCTGCAATGAGTCCCGAAGAGTTCTAGCCTCTAGCACTTTTTCAATAATTTTACTATCTTGGCATGAAAATTTTTAAGTATTAATAATAAACAGAAATTATAGAATATAGTGAGATGCTGTCATATTATATCACGTTCTAGAATACATATTGCTTCTAAATGATAATTTGACTCTGTCTGCATTGAGATCCGAAGAGTTCTAGCCTCTAGCACATTTTCAATACTTCTAAGTATTAATAATAGAAAAAATTGTAGACTATAGTGACATGCTGGCACATTATGTTGAGTTCTCCAATATATAAAGGTGATATTTTTTCTGATATGTTTTCTCTAAAAAATGAAATCTCTGTTGATGTGGAAAACAAGATGACAAGATGCAGAGGAGAAAATAAAACAGATGAAAACGAAGATAGAAGAACTGGTCAAGGCCAAGGTCAGTGAAATAAAGTGCCATGAGGTGGAGTCGAAGTTAAAATTGGAAAAAAGCTGTAAACTCTGCTCTTGTTAAAGCCCCAACTTTCGACGGGAAGATGTCATGGACCAACTACCTTAAACAGTTCGAAACAGCTGCCAGAGCAAATTAATGGTCTGAACGAGAGAAGGCAGTAAATTTGACCATCGCCCTTCGAGGAGACGCTTTAGATGTCCTTCAGACCATACCTGTGGAAGAGACCGATGACTTTAAACAACTTAAAAAGAGACTCAACTTGCTATATGACCACAAACATTTGGAGCATCCATACCAATCAGAGTTAAAAAATCGCAAACAGAAACGAGATCCTTCAAAAATATGAAGTAAATATTGCCAGGTTGGTGCGATTCGCCTACCCATCAGCTCCGGAAAACATGATGGAAGGTTTGGCAGTCCAAACATTTGTTGATGGACTTCGTAACCACGAGATGCCGAAAACACTTCGCTTAGCCCGTTACAAAACATCCATCGATGTCTTCTCCTCTGCTCTAGAGTATGAGGCAGCTACGCAGGCTCCTGGAGGATACAGTAAAGTAAGGACTCTTAAAGAAGAAAACGTAGAAGATGAACTCGACCAACTATTTAAGATAATGAAGAGCTTTACTGATAAAAATATGAAGACAAAGACTATCAGGTGCTGGAATTGCGGTGAACTGGGACATGTGCTCAGTTCATGCAAACGCTCTAGGGTTCCAACAACTGAAGACAACACGCCGCAGGAAAACTAGAGCGGGTCGGCCTAGAGAGGGCAGCTTCGACCCGAAACCGTTCCAAAGACCCTATCATACTGATAGCCATGTGAAATTTCGCGATAATAGTGTATACGTAGACGGCGAAGTAAATCATAAAAAGTATACACTGTTGGTGGATACTGGAGCAACTAGGACCATTATACGACCAACAACCATAAATAACCGTAATAGACTTCTACCAACAAGATTGCGACTGCGGACTGCCACAGGTGAAAGTGCCAACATCAATAGAGGAATCCAAGTTCAGTTGGGAATTGGTACAGAAAAGTACACTCATACTGTTATTGTCGCTGAAATCGAAGAAGATGTTATTCTTGGAATAGATGTAATGAACTTACATGGTTTCCAGTTGGACTTTTAGAACAGAGTGATCAAAGTTGGTGCCCAAGAGGTATACCTACATCCATATGGGGACAGTACCGTGCCAATTGCTGTAAAGGAGGATACGGTGGTACCTGGAATCACGATGAAGAGGTTGGACGAAAAATTCTGATTGGGAAAGGGTTGGTCACGACTGCTAAAGAGATTCCAATCCGTCTTATAAACGTTAATCATCACCCAATCACCATCAAGAAAGAGACCAGTATCGGAACTTGTGTACCAGTATCTTACATAATTCGTCAGACAACAACTTCTGATAATCCCAAAGACAAAGTTGAGCAAATGATTGCAGTTGCTGGTCAATCTTAAAATCAATTAGAGAAAAAGAAAATAAAGGAATTTCTACGACGATATCGTGACATTTTTGTCCCAAACGGCGGAAAAACAGGACAAACTTCTGTTGTAAAACACAAAATTGATACTGGTGACGCCAGGCCGATTCATCAATCAGCTCGAAGATTACCAAAGGCCAAGAGGAAGGAAGCTGAAAGGATTGTTCAGGAAATGAAACAAGATAGGGTGATAGAACCTTCTATCAGCCCTTGGGTCTCTCCGGTAGTCCTGATCCAGAAAAAGGCTATAACTACGAGGTTCTGTGTGGATTACCGTCAGTTAAACAATGTTATCAAGAAAGACAGTTATCCTCTTCCTCGAATCGACGAGTCTGGATATTGGCAGGCAGAAATGGACCCAGTAGACAAAGAAAAGACAGCTTTTACCACCGGATCTGGATTGTGGCAATTCATGTCATGCCATTTGGACTATGTAATGCCCTCCCCCCCGCGACTTATGGAAAATATATTGAGAGAGTTATCATGGAAAACGTGCCTGGTATATTTAGATGACATTATAGTCTTGAAGACATTTGATGAACATCTAAAGAACTTAGAAGATGTTTTCAAAACACTTCAAGCTGCCCAACTGATACTAAACCCCAAGAAATGCCAGCTATTACTAAAGTCATTTACCTGGGTCATACAGTAAGTGAGGCTATAGATAAGGAAAAAGTGGCATCCATCAAAGAGTGGCCACAACTAACTGATAAACATCAAATAAGAAGTTTTCGTGGGCTATATACGTACTATCGAAGATTAATTAGGAAGTTTGCAGGTATTGCTAAGCCATTAACACGGCTCACAGAAGAAGCGAGGGAATTCTGCTGGGACGAGGACTGCCAAACTGCACTTGAAACATTAAAGAAGCATTTAACAACAGCACCAATACTAGGCTACCCAATATCGGAGGGAGAATTTATCCTGGATACTGATGCTAGTAATGTGGGAATTGGAGGAGTGCTTTCACAGATTCAGGAAGGGAAAGAAAGAGTACTAGATTATTTTAGTAAAGTGCTCTCGAAACCTGAACGAACATACTGCGTCACAAGAAGAGAACTGGCAGTTGTAAAGTGCGTGGAACACTTCTACCAATACCTGTATGGAAGGAAATTTTTAATTTGGACCGATCATGCAGCTCTTAAGTGTCTGATGCAATTTAAGAACCCGGAAGGTCAAATTGCCAGATGGATTGAAGGACTTCAAGAGTAAGACTTCAAGATTGAACATCGAGCCGGAATAAGTCACAGAAATGCCGATTCTCTCTCTCTCTAGAAGATCGTGTCCAGCAGAGTGCTCCCACTACAACAAAGCGGAATCCAAAGAAAGTGGACTACTAAGAACAACTGTAGCCAACGTTGTGTGGGCTCCTGCTAAAATTAGGGAAGAACAAGAGAACGATACCATTTTAAAGAAGATGCGACAATGGAAAGAGGAAAATCGTCGACCTACTTGGCAAAAAGTATCTAATATCTCTTCAGTACTTGAGTCATATTTGGCTCAGTGGGACTCTTTTATTCCGGAAGATGGCTTATTAAAACGAGTACTTGAAAATGATGATGGTTCCGAAAACAGAAGACAGTTGGCCATTCCAAAGAATAGAGTAGCCGAAGTACTTTCTCAGTTACACGACAGTCCATCAGGAGGACATCTCGGTGTTAAGAAAACCCCTTCAGAGAGTTCGGGAAAGGTTTTACTGTATGAACAGTTCTGATGATGTAAAGGACTGGTGTAAGAATTGTATCACCTGTGCTATGAGTAATGGACCTCAACGAAAAAGTAAGGCTCCTATGAAGCAATACAACGTTGGTAGCCCATTTGAGAGGATCGCTTTAGATATTGCTGGACCATTCCCCAGGACCGAGGATGGTAATAAATACATTTTGGTAGTTATGGACTATTTTACAAAGTGGGTAGAAGTCTACGCCATTCCAAATCAAGAGGCAGCAAATGTTGCAAATGTATTGATAAAAGAGTTTATCTGTCGATTTGGAATGCCCCTGGAGATCCACAGTGACCAAGGCAGAAATTTTGAAAGTCAACTCTTCCGTGGAATCTGTGACAGACTAGGCATGAAGAAAACCAGAACCACAGCATTGCACCCACAATCCGATAGAATGGTAGAGAGAATGAATAAGACCATTGGCAAATATTTGTCAAAAGTATTTTCAAACCATCAGCGAGATTGGGATCAGTATCTTTCGCTCTTTGCAATGGCTTATAGATCCGATGTCAATGAATCAATAGACCGAACACCAGCAAAGGTCCTGTTTGGGCATGAGATGAGACTACCGTGCGACCACGAGTTTGGATGTCGACCTGGAGAAGATGTAGCTGGTGAAGATTATGTGATCCAGTTACGAAGAAGAATGGACGATATGCATGAATTGGTCCGCTCGTATCTTCAAATCGTCAGCGACAGGATGAAGAAACGGTACGATACTCAAGCTACAGAGGGATGTTTCAAGGAAGGCGAAAAGGTCTGGCTCAATAACGCAAAAAGACAAAAAGGTTATTCTCCGAAGCTTCAAAGGTGGTAAGGTCCGTACCTTATCAAGAATAAAATTAATTTACCGTATAAGATCCCAAACGGTAAACCGAAGGTAGTGCATCAAAACATTTTAGGGTGACCATGTTTTTGTAGAATTTATGGGTGCTTATGGAGGTACAGGAAAAGCAATATATGGTGTTACAACCGAGCAACAACTAGATCTGCTCTCGCTTCACAAAGACTACTCGCTGGTTCATAGTACTTCAGCTAGCATCCGCCGTCGACTGCTAGAACTTCAATGCCAGTTACCAACCCCTGGAAAAGCCTTGAAGGTTCAAGACGAATCGGGCTACCTTTTCTATCTGGTAATCAAGAACACCTTCCAAGATCGATCCACTTATTATGATGTATGGGAAGCATTACTTAGTTTAAGGAAACACGTACTGGAGTCCAATGTATAGAAACTATCCATGCCGAAGATAGAAGGAAATCAGCTGGATTGGAGGATCATTAGGAACATGATAGAAGTAATCTTTCAAGATACCGGAGTCCAAATACTGGTCTGCAGCTATTCGCCCAATGTCCAGGTTACAGCAAAGACAGTCCCTTGTTACTGCCATGCAACTCGAAATTGTACAAGAGGGTTCAGTTGCAGATACAACCATTCCGTTTTAGTTTCGTAAGAGTTCCAACAACTTTGTTTTATAAAATTTTTGTTAAAAATAATAAATAATGGTACTTCCCTCTTGAAGCATTTTCATATTTTCCTAATTTATTAACACCCTGTACATTTAATCTAAAATTTTTATAAGGCAACTCCATTTTCTCAACAAGCAGAACTTTTTATAAAGAATTACTTTTGGTCGTAAAATGAATAATAAAGATTTTTTCCCCCTTGGGGACCCCATCCATGGACACACTGTATATATAAATTAGAATAGTATTGTTTTAAAATAAATAAGTGTTCCAATAAATTATTAACAAATAAACTGTTGTTTAAAATAAACAAATACTACAAGTTTATTTGAAAATGCATGATATGGTAGCACAGTTTTTATGGCAAATGTCTATGATTTTATATAATTTTGCTATAATACATTTTCAAATAAACTATAATCACAGATTGGTAATACAAATATTAAATGATTTAGATTTTCCACGGAGAGGAATCCTCCGTGCACAATATCCTCCGTGATTCAATTGCATTTCGGTGATGCATGTTGAGTATTATCTACCGTCTGAGTACTGGGGGAATGTTCCTGGGATGGATCAGCTTAAAATAGGTTTGTTCCAACAACGATCAGAAACCAGTCATTGCCACCAGGATTCTGCGTAGTAGATTATTAGGACCCCAAATTATATACTGCGCAGAATCCTGGTGTTAATGACTGGTTTCGGATCGTTGTTGGAACAAACCTGATGATTCTTAGTATTATACGAGGATGTGTTTTTAAACCAAAAGTTTGTCCATTGGCTCAAAATTTGCCGTTTAAAGAAGTTAATAATATCGGGGGTCGTATTTACATCAGTAATTGTGTATAAATACCCACCTTTTCCCTCCAGGGATTCTTTTTATTTTACGTCGATACATCGCAGGAAAATTCATTTAAATGAAAATGTTCATATTCTCAAAGCAATTCTTATTTTCTTTTAACCGGTAGACAAACTGCCCAATCCGACACTGAGTATTTTCCACGATTTTACTTAATTATAATAATTATTATTTTAGCTGCAAATACGCCACCGAAATTAAGCTGCGACTTTGAAACCGTCGATCTGTGTGGATGGACGCACGACTTGAACCACGATTTCGATTGGTTAAGAGAGAATTATAACACTCCAAGCGGATCCATTGGAACTGGACCCAGTTTCGATCACACCAAAGGAGTCGGCGGAGATGGTAAAATCACAATAAATAATTGTTGTATTTCAAGTGTGCATAGGAGAAATTATATTAATACAATTCCCTTTTAATAAATTAAATTAGGTCAAGCGCTTTTCAGTGTCTTGATGACGGTTTAAACTTAATTTATTAAATAAAGGGAATTGTATTAACACAATTTTTCCTTTGTTCACTTGAAATACAAACATATTTTATATTCTCCTATTACCTAGTCTGTATATACCATATTATATCTCATTTAAAAAATGTTTTCCTGTTCATATCTAGAATTCTAGAAGATACATTCTGTTAAAATTAGTCTGATACGCACCCTGCTTATACATACATGGCGGCCAATTTTTATTTCGCAGAGCTGGTTAAAGCACTTTTGCAAAATACTTAAATTAACAAGCACCTAATACTTTGTTAAAGTGCTTTAAATTATCAAATACCAAATACTTTCATTTTTTAAATTACAATATTTGAAAAATAAAGCACTAAATACTTATTCAAAGTATTTGAATCCTATTGAGAGTTTCAAGAACATATTGAAAAGTGTTTGAAGTTGCAAATGGCTGCATACAGCATAAATCATTTTATACTAAGGGATTTAAAAACTTGAAAAGTATAAACTGTTGAAGCATTTTGCCAATAACGAAGATACATAGAAACAATAAAAATATAAACATTTTAATTTCCTAAAAACAATATATATAATTAAAAATTAAACTAAATTAAACTATTTATTGAGAACATTTGCCGGTAAGCAAATAAGTGTTATTACAGTGTCGGCCACAACTTTTTCCAATACGATTAACACAAATGCATGTGAAAACTACAGAGAGTTAGCATTAGAGCGAGCAGGAAACGAATATCAGCGTTGTCAGTTTATACGACAAGACCGCGTTGTAACGTTGACCGGGCTGTATAAACTGGCAACGCTGATATTATTTTAAGGGTACTTCTTAAAAAAAAAATCTTCAGATTTGGTTTCGAAATATACAACTTTTAATTTAAAAAGTGGCCACCCTTTATTCAATTACATTGCAGGTTACTACATGTACATCGAATCATCTTCAAAGGCCCAAAACGATACTGCTAGACTTATTTCACCGGTTTACGACAAAATGGACGACGAAGTGTGTTTCGAATTCTTTTATCACATGTACGGAGCTACCATAGGAACGTTGAGGGTTTATTTAAAAACTGTCAATCAAACTTGGTCGTCGTTAAACCCGCAATCAGCAATATTCACGAAGAGCGGCAACCAAGGCGACAAATGGTACAGGAGCTTCCATCACTTGGGAATCGTCAAAGAAGAATTTCAAGTAAGTCATTCATTACGCTGTTTCTAGTAATAGAGGCATTTTTATTTTCTAAATTATTTTTTGTTATTTTCAGATCATCATTGAAGGTGTAAGAGGTGCTGGTTATATAAGTGACATTGCAATTGACGATGTAAAAATAATACCAAATTGTATCGACGAAGATGAGATTACTACAACAATGTAAGTTTGAACTAAAGTAATAATTACATATATGCGAAATAAGTGGTTGTTAATAGTCTAAGATACGAAGTAAGGTCGCCCATCTGCTTACCGGATAAAAGTTATTTTTTATTAAATAAATATATCGCCAATGGGTTTCCTATTTTCTTAAATTAAAAAAAAACGACATCATAAAGTATCGCCTAGATTGGATTAAAGCTTAAGTTTAAAATTTGGTGTCTTTGTCTTTATCCGTTTCTGATTTATCTCCAAAATTCGAAATTTTCACTATTTCTCAAATATCTCGATTACAGTCCATTTTAGGAAAATCATGCATTGGAGAAAAATTATAGAGAATGACATCACAAGCAACTTTATCATGATTTCTATACTTTCCTTATCTGTATAATAATAATAATAATAATAATAATAATAATAATACTCTCCCTAAGATATAGTATACAAAGTATACAGAGTATACAGAGTATACAGAGTATACAGAGTATACAGAGTATACAGAGTATACAGAGTATACAGAGTATACAGAGTATACAGAGTATACAGAGTATACAGAGTATACAGAGTATACAGAGTATACAGAGTATACAGAGTATACAGAGTATACAGAGTATACAGAGTATACAGAGTATACAGAGTATACAGAGTATACAGAGTATACAGAGTATACAGAGTATACAGAGTATACAGAGTATACAGAGTATACAGAGTATACAGAGTATACAGAGTATACAGAGTATACAGAGTATACAGAGTATACAGAGTATACAGAGTATACAGAGTATACAGAGTATACAGAGTATACAGAGTATACAGAGTATACAGAGTATACAGAGTATACAGAGTATACAGAGTATACAGAGTATACAGAGTATACAGAGTATACAGAGTATACAGAGTATACAGAGTATACAGAGTATACAAAGTATACAGAGTATACAGAGTATACAGAGTATACAAAGTATAGAGTATACAGAGTATACAGAGTATACAGAGTATACAGAGTATACAGAGTATACAGAGTATACAGAGTATACAGAGTATACAGAGTATACAGAGTATACAGAGTATACAGAGTATACAGAGTATACAGAGTATACAGAGTATACAGAGTATACAGAGTATACAGAGTATACAGAGTATACAGAGTATACAGAGTATACAGAGTATACAGAGTATACAGAGTATACAGAGTATACAGAGTATACAGAGTATACAGAGTATACAGAGTATACAGAGTATACAGAGTATACAGAGTATACAGAGTATACAGAGTATACAGAGTATACAGAGTATACAGAGTATACAGAGTATACAGAGTATACAGAGTATACAGAGTATACAGAGTATACAGAGTATACAGAGTATACAGAGTATACAGAGTATACAGAATATACAGAGTATACAAAGAGGAAAGTAAAAAATAGACTTAACAGTATCTCTCTGTATCTAGAATGTGTGGAGGGTTGGTTACCCCCATGGCACTTAAGCCTCATTAATCTGATTGTGCATCCTCCTAAGATGACAACGTCGCCAAAAGGTGCTTCTCTTATATTGGTCGGACACAAATCTTCTAATAAATGAGAGCGTCGAGCAATCGTAAAGGATATGCTCGATGGTCTTATCTCTTCTTGTTCGCACCCTCTGCAGAGTGCGGATGCTGAAAGCCCCATGATATGGAGATGCTTCCTTGGCAATAACAAGTCAGATTGCCTGTGTCTAGGCGCAGATTCTGTCTAGTCATAGTCAAGTATTTGTTTGCTGCAGTGTCATCAGGATAACTTAAGAGCTCCCTGGCAACTCTGCAGTTTCTTGTTTCATCCCATGGTTTCTTGAATTTCACAAGGGAATATTCTTTAATTAGGTCTGTCACTACCGATTTTGTCAGGCTAATAGAAGGGCCAGGTCCAAAAAGTATTTGGTTGGCTGCTTTCTTGACTAGTGAATCAGCAAGACGGTTACCTTTCGATGTGGCGTGACCTTTGATCCATCTTAAGGTGACCACATTGTTGATGGATACTTCGGCCAAAGCTACGTGACATTCTAGTACTAACTCTGAATAAATTCGTAGCCTATTCAAGGAGAGTAGTGCTTGCCTACTATCTGTATAGATGAGCATGTTCCTTCCAGTGATATTGTTTCTGGTTGTTTCTCATGATGATATGATAATCCCCGTTAAATCTGTTTGAACTACACTGGCTACAGTCCATTTTATGTTTAGGTTTAAGAATCTGGAGTATATTCCATATCCTGAGCCTTGTTTTGTTTTAGAACCGTCGGTGTAGATATGAATCGTTCCTGCCACTTCCGGCTCTTCTATTTGTTCTAATATAACTTTATATGGCTTATGGAAGAAATATTTCGGGGAGATGGAGTCCATATTCACTTGAAGCAGTGGGAGCGTATCAAGCGCATCCTGCCCAAAGTTGCGTCTCGCCTCACCAGATTCTACATCAGGTTCTATTCCAACCGTGCGGAGACGTGTCATTGTCGTCAGAGCAACCTCCCTGATGCAAATATCAAGGGGAGTGAGACTAAGAATGCCTTCATGGCTCTGGTCAGTTTTGTTTTTATGGCTCCTGTTATGTTGGAAATTTGTTCTAGTTTACGAATAACTGTTAATTTTTGGGTTTTAGATAGCCAGACAACTACAGCGTATGTTAGCATAGGTCTTATGATAGCCGTGTCCATGCGACGACTCTAGGGGAGAAACCCCAGGTGCGCCCCATGGTTCGGCGGCACTGTTCATAAGCGATGTATGCTCTTTTAACTCTGTTTTCTAAATGCGAGTTCCATGTTAACTTGCTGTCAAAGGTGAGACCTAGTTACTTCACCTCTGTTGCAAAGTTTAGTTTTGTGTTTAGGAGTTCTGGAGGTTTTAATTCCATTTTCCTTGTGAGAAGATCATTTCTGTCTTCTTAGGATTGATAGACAGTGAATAGTCCTTGCACCACTGTTCTATAATTTTTAGAGCTACTTGCATTCTTTCGCAGAGTATGTTCTCAAAATTCCCTATTTGCAGAATGACTAGGTCATCTGCATATGCTATTATAGAGTGACTGTCATTATTGAGGCGGCTGAAGAGGGTGTTGTGGACATCCCCTCGCAACCAAGCCTCTTATATTAACATTTTCTGCATTTATTTTTACTGCTCGCTTTGAGAGCATGTTATGTATCTACCTACTAACCATTTGTGGAACATTCCTGTTGGTTAGTAAGTGTACTATCTTTGGGAAGGTGGTTTTATCAAAAGCACCTTCTATGTCTATGAAAATACCCAAGGCGGACTTCTTATTGTCCAGCGATCTTTCTATCCGGCCAGCAACTAGATGAAGGGCTGAATCAGTAGATCTGCCTGGGGTGTATGCATGTTGGTTTGGGTGTAGTGGTGTTGTTGTAATCACCGCATCCCTTATGTACTTTTCGCATAGCTTTTCCAATGTCTTCATGGAAAACGATCTCAGACCTAATTGGTCGGTATGTTATTGGGACAGTGTAATCCATCCTTCCAGATTTGGGTATAAATACCACTTTTACCTCTCTCCATTTTTTGGGGATATACCTCAGAGCCAACGAGGATCTGAATATACCCACCAGGTGCGGTGTGAGTTCTTCCAGATCCCACTGAAGTAGGACTGGATAGATACCGTCAGGTCCTAGTGATTTAAATAGAGAGAAGCTAGAATGTGTTAGGCAGTTTGCCAATCATAGATAGATGGATTGTATTTTTCCTCTGCCCAGTCGGCCACGTCTGTGATGACCGACTCAGGGAAGTTTGATGCTATCTTCGATGTTGGCAGTTTTTGTGACATCATCTTTGATTAGCGCACCAATGCTTCGGTGTGGATCTTTTAAAAGAGCTTTTTGAAGCCTCGCTGCCTGCCGGAAATCTTCTATTTCTTTGCAGTAATCTCCATGCATATTTCTGTTTTTGTCTGACGATTTTTTTGTATCCTCTGAGGTAAGTATCCCAGTCCTCTTTGAGTTTTGTGGTTCTTGTCTTATTAAAAGATTTTCTAGCCATCTTCCTGAGGTGATCCAACTTGTGATACCACCATGCAGTTGTCGTCTAATCGTGTTGGACCAGTCTCAGAGGACAGGATTTCTTATAGGTATTGTTTATTGTGCTTTGGATAGTGTTCGTGTACTTTTCCAAAGCAGTGTTATTGTTTGGTATTTCGACCTATATCTCCCTCAGAGCCTCTTGGAGAAGGTGGGCATAGCTTGCTCTGTCCGTCTTCCTAGGGTTCCGTGATAGAGTGGAGTTCGGCAACATCAAGTTTATTTTAAATGTTAACCAGCGGTGGTCTGACATCGAAATGTTATCAGACGCTTGCCAGTTTAGAATTGATTTATAGATACCAGTTGTGGATAAAGTGATATATATTAGTGTTTAACTGCGAGAGTTTAAAAATGTTGGTGTGGTACCTTTATTTAAAATACAATCATTTTTGGTAATTATATAATCATAAAATGACTTACCTCTAGCGTTGTTATCCTTACTGCCCCAACTGAAGTGATGAGCGTTTGAGTCGCAACCTATTGAAAGCTCAAACTTCTTTTCAGGCAGTATTCAATCAGATTCTCCATCTCTTTACTCGGTGGTGGCATGGTTGCGTCGGAGGGGAGGTATGCAGATGCCAGGATTAACGTTCTCTTTTCCCTTTTGATGGCGTATTCCATCCTAATCGCAGTTAAATCGGAGGTGGAAAGGTGTGCCATTGAGTGGGCTTTGTATTTCCATGACAGTATTTTTTACGCAATCCATCTGCGGTATGTTTATTAACATATTTTATTTAATAAAAAATACCTTTTATCCGGTAAGCAGTTGGACGAAGGTCCACCTTACTTCGTATCTTATACTATAATAGTTCCTTAATAAATGTATCTTGTCTAGGTTAGAAATATTTGGGTCACCCTCAGGTAGCGATAGAATAACAATCATTTATTATATATATTAAGAAGTCATTTTGTCAATAAGTATTCGTTTTGTATTATAATAT